TCCCTGGTTCGAGTCCTGGTGGTGACGGTCAATTGCTTCTTCAGAATTTGCCGTCTGTGTATTTCCCTCAAACCAGTGAATATGTTATGACTTGGGGCTCCCCGCGTGCTAGTTTGTACGTGAAGTGTGTGGGTTACAGTGAGGGCTGCGTCCCACCCGCCTGTGTGGACTCAGGAAGTGTGAGTTACGATGTCTGAAGAAAATGTTGAACGCCGAGTCCTGGTGGTGACATTCAATTTTTTATTCAGACTTTTCCCGTTTGTGTCTTTCCTTCAAACCAGTAACTATTTTTTGGCTCGGGCTCCCGAGGGGCTATTTTCGTTTTGCTCCGCGTGCCATGTGAATAGGCATTTCCTAAATCGGCCCGATTTTTTCGCCTAATCGACTTTTCGATCAGCGAAGAGATTTTCCGAATTCGGCCACATTATTAGCCCCAAGTCAGAATTCGGCTCACAGCAGTACTTCAAGTTACCTGTCCCAGTACAGATGTGCATTTACTTTCACGCTGTAGAGGCACTAAACACATCCATTTTCGGCGTATTCAGCGCGAAAGTTGTCAATCGGCGCAATTATCGGCGATTTCTTGACAGTAATAGGTTTTTTTCATTTGACCCGACGAGACCACACGACGCTTCCAGATCACAGCACGAACTGTTCACCAGCCACACTCCACGAAAGCAAGTAGTAGTAGTACTCCTGTGTTGATATGTCACATATACGAGTTAGTTGAGTGTTTACACCTTGCGCCGGTGTTTTCTCTATAAAATAGCATTATTCAGCTAAACCCGTTCATTCAACAACTGCTTCTCCTCTGATGAGTTATAATTATTGTAATGGGTAGCCGAGTGGTAGGCGCGGTGAAATCAACAAGAATTACTTTTATTCTACTTCTTTCAGGTACACACCTGAGATATAATTATTAGTGAAAGAAGAAGCGGCAAAATAACTTTCTCTCCGGTGCAAACCTGGAGGTTGAATACCTCGTTATTATCAAAATCTCATCTTCCTCAAAACAGAAATGCGCAGCCGCTTTTATGCAGCAGACGCCGTACGCTTACATACGGAGATACACTAAATATACATCAGGCAAAGCTCCGTATTAGTTCCGTAGTGCTTCCGTAGTGGTCGGGCAGGGATACTACACCCTCCCTTCCTACAGATAATCACGCCCTCGTGATTTTCAAAAAATTAGTGAAGAGTTACGAACACAGCGTCAACCGGAAGATGGCAAATTATATCGGAAATGATAACGTTTAGAGTAGACAGAATAAATGAACTGATAACAAATCATAAAGTAGAAGCACACCAGGTTCACACGATGTCACGGGGTCAAAAGGGGAAAGAACTGTCCTCCAAATAGGACCTGAAAATCCACAGCACTCTTGCTGCACAACGCTGGCACAACCCGCCAGGAACATCGCAGTTCAAAAACCGAACTGAATACACTATAACTATAAGGGTAGTTGTCACACACATTGTCCCACGTTAGCTGGGTAAGCCGTGGCTCACCATGATCAGACGCCTACCAAACTAAACTGGATTCACACACCCGCATAAAGGAAGACTGAAGAGGACAGGGAGACTGAAGGAAGACAGGAAAGAAAATGCCATACCTGGAATCAGCGTTAGTAACCACGGCGGCGGCTGGAGCTATGGTGGAGGGCAAGCCAGGTTTTATCTTCATCTTGGTTGAGCCGGTCACTCAGAGCGGCTAGCTCGGCGTCAGACAAATGACCTGATTGACCTCCCTCCTCGTCTTGAATCGTGGTCTTCACATTGTCGATAGCATCGCTTTGCGCGACGTAAAGAGTGATGGTCTAGCCAGGAAGAGTGTTGACGAAATTCTGCATTCCACCACGGAGACGAAGTACCAAGTGAATAGTGGACTCCTGCTGAACGTTGTAGTCACTCAGGGTTCGGCCGTCTGCCAACTACGCGCCGGCAAAAATCAAACGCTGCTGGTCTTGGGGAATACCCTCCTTGTCTAGGTCAGCAGCCCGCATGTCGTCGTCCTCATCAGCTTCGCCATCACCGGTAGTATACATGTAGGTAGCGGGTTGCTTGAAATCGCCATCGGAGTCTCCAATGGATGCCGTGCGGAAAGAATGGTGATCCACGTTAGCACCCTGACTGTGCTGCAGGCTAATAAGCATTGCCAGGCCCAGGAAAGCATGAAACACGATTCTCATCTTGATTCGTCGCACGGAGCTGCAGCGGGTTGAGCTATGGGGGTCTGGGGTCGAATCACGTTGTTTTATTTTACAAAAACACACCGCTGCCACCAATGTAATGGGTAGCCGAGTGGTAGGCGCGGTGAAATCAACAAGAATTACTTTTATTCTACTTCTTTCAGGTACACACCTGAGATATAATTATTAGTGAAAGAAGAAGCGGCAAAATAACTTTCTCTCCGGTGCAAACCTGGAGGTTGAATACCTCGTTATTATCAAAATCTCATCTTCCTCAAAACAGAAATGCGCAGCCGCTTTTATGCAGCAGACGCCGTACGCTTACATACGGAGATACACTAAATATACATCAGGCAAAGCTCCGTATTAGTTCCGTAGTGCTTCCGTATTGGTCGGGCAGGGATACTACACTGGATTTAGGCTCCAGTCATTTCGATGGCGTGGGTTTGAATCCCACCGCTGCCACCAATGTAATGGGTAGCCGAGTGGTAGGCGCGGTGAAATCAACAAGAATTACTTTTATTCTACTTCTTTCAGGTACACACCTGAGATATAATTATTAGTGAAAGAAGAAGCGGCAAAATGACTTTCTTTCTCTCCGGTGCAAACCTGGAGGTTGAATACCTCGTTATTATCAAAATCTCATCTTCCTCAAAACAGAAATGCGCAGCCGCTTTTATGCAGCAGACGCCGTACGCTTACATACGGAGATACACTAAATATACATCAGGCAAAGCTCCGTATTAGTTCCGTAGTGCTTCCGTATTGGTCGGGCAGGGATACTACACTGGATTTAGGCTCCAGTCATTTCGATGGCGTGGGTTCGAATCCCACCGCTGCCACCAATGTAATGGGTAGCCGAGTGGTAGGCGCGGTGAAATCAACAAGAATTACTTTTATTCTACTTCTTTCAGTTACACACCTGAGATATAATTATTAGTGAAAGAAGAAGCGGCAAAATGACTTTCTTTCTCTCCGGTGCAAACCTGGAGGTTGAATACCTCGTTATTATCAAAATCTCATCTTCCTCAAAACAGAAATGCGCAGCCGCTTTTATGCAGCAGACGCCGTACGCTTACATACGGAGATACACTAAATATACATCAGGCAAAGCTCCGTATTAGTTCCGTAGTGCTTCCGTATTGGTCGGGCAGGGATACTACACTGGATTTAGGCTCCAGTCATTTCGATGGCGTGGGTTCGAATCCCACCGCTGCCACCAATGTAATGGGTAGCCGAGTGGTAGGCGCGGTGAAATCAACAAGAATTACTTTTATTCTACTTCTTTCAGGTACACACCTGAGATATAATTATTAGTGAAAGAAGAAGCGGCAAAATGACTTTCTTTCTCTCCGGTGCAAACCTGGAGGTTGAATACCTCGTTATTATCAAAATCTCATCTTCCTCAAAACAGAAATGCGCAGCCGCTTTTATGCAGCAGACGCCGTACGCTTACATACGGAGATACACTAAATATACATCAGGCAAAGCTCCGTATTAGTTCCGTAGTGCTTCCGTATTGGTCGGGCAGGGATACTACAATATCTCTATGGAACGAAACAAGACTTGTCAGGAATACTACTACTACTTGCTTTCGTGGAATGTGGCTGGTGGACTGTTCGTGCTGTGATCTGCAAGCGCCGTGTGGTCTCGTCGGGTCAAATGAAAAAAAACTATTTCCACTATTTGACGGACCTGTTGAAGATGGCAACAAAGAATTTTGATTTCGTGACAGCCATTGATTTCGGCGTCCTTTCCTGCTGACCGTTTTCGGAAATGCCTAAAGTGACAGTCAACTTTCGCAGATAATTGAAAAAAAAGAAAAAAATGGCTACAGAAATTGTATTTGCATTCTCGTCGCGTTGTTCTACTATCCTACATGTCACCATATCTGACCCTACTCTCATTGCCCGCCTCTTCAAAGGATACGTCTGTCCCTCCATCGAGTATGCTTCACCTTTGTGGAACAACAAATTGACCGCAGGGAATATTGACCCTTTGGAACGATTGCAAGCACGCGTGGTCAGGCAGCATTTACATCGTCGAAAAGTGCCCATTCCTCATGGCATGGAGAACGTGTTTGAAGCCGCTCAATGGGAAAGTCTTGCGTGGTGGCGGCGGAACATACATGTACATTGCCTCAAACTGTTTTACCATTTTAACCGCCAATAACCGGAAACCCTCAACAATTTCAACATAGTTCTATCCAAGAGTGCACGACGTCCTCACTTTTACCTCCTGCCCACTCACACTGGTCCCTGTTTCCACTCCACTCTACTACGTTCCATGATCACCACTTGGAACTCCCTGCCTACCGAGATTAGGATATCTGAAACCCGTGGTGTATTTAGCCGGCGCGTTAAGTCCCATTTCCACAGGGATAGATTCCATCCTCGAGGTTTTCTCACTCCCTGTTTACCCCCTTCTTTATCAGTACCCTTTTCACTTGCTTTTACTCAGACGTCTTAATTAACCTCTTCATATTGTTGCACCCTATTGTACACGTGTTGTACACGTATATTTATTCTCGGAGACCCCCTTGATTTAGGCTTCGGCCTTTCGGGAATCCCTCAAATAATAATAATAATAATTTAATCAACAACGAAGCATTTTGATTAGGTTGATAGCGTCAACTTCGGATTGCTCAAACTGAGAACAACATAGTGAGCGTGGTACGCGTAGTGTTGGACACAAACTACGCATAATATGTAGCATTGTGGTCCTTTCTCTTTAAATGCAATCCTTGGCTCTCCATCCGAGTCTTAGATAAATTATGATTTAATTATAATACTATTCCAATTGAGCACTTACGGCTTAAGCTCTGTGTTGACACTCCATTGGCTGTCAGCAGCGCAAGAAATGCGGCGATGAAAATAACCCATTTGGCAGATATCACCGGCCAATTGTGGCAAGGTCTCATTTTCGGGAATCACCAAACCGTGGATTTATGGTTAGCTGTCGCTGCCTCTTGTTGGCACGAGGATGGAAATCGCTTTTCTTGAAGAGACCGGTCGATAGCCAACAGCAATACGAAGATACCTGGTGGCGGTTGTCTCCTGACCCCGTTATATAATGGAAAGCAAACGATGACTTGCCTACCTACGTGTACCCAAGACCACATTTGACGTGAGGTAGTTGCAATTCGCAACCCTAAGGAGAGAACTGTCCAGTGATTAGGGAACGGATGACGAGCATCAGATCACTATGTAGTAAAAGAGCTCAGAACCAAATGATACAGAATCAAAGGAGGATTGTATATGTTGTAGAGGACTGGTACAAAGCGTGGAGAAACGAGACCCCTTTCTGCACATACGTGTAGATGGCAATTATTATGGGTTGGGAGTATATAAATGAGCGCGCAATGCTCATAGATGACCCTTTTTACGCAAGGCCAGACCATCTGTGAAAGAATGGGAGCCACATCCGCGCATGAAGTTGCCAACAGCGGTCCCAGGGACCTTCGTTCCAAATGAGGAGTATGCAGAATTTCCAGAATGTGCTCGTCGTTCAGCGTATAGTTCACCTACTTCTAGTGTAAGATCGCAAGACGGAGGAAGTTCAGTGATAGATGTCGATTGCTAGACTGGAACGAAAAAGCCCCACGAGAGCAGTGTTGGTGTGAACCTGCTGTTACCACAATGCACTAATGATCTGAAACGGTAGTCAGGTGACAATCACTGTTTGAGACCCAGGTAGCGACTATTGGGAAAATGCGTTCTGCTACAATTCATATTGGCAGATGAAGTGCACTGCTAGCGAAAGGATCCGGCAAACATCTAAGTAAGCAGATGGTTTGAACCTTAACTCTACGAGCTTTTCTGTTGAATGCAACCCCCCCCCCCCTCAAGCCGGTAAAAGCATTTCAATCGCTCACAGTGCACTACCCCTGTGTTCATAGAGTGTTCCTGGCACTCTCTATGTGTCGCGTTCTTGATCACCGAATTTTGCAAGGTTTTTGTTTTTGCTCGCCCTGTACTAGTATTCAATTCATTTCGGGTTCCCCTCTATTTTCTGGTTCGTCATCGGTGGTCATTTACTGAATGAATTGGAATAGTAATGCGTGTACATCTGATAGGCTTCGCGACCGATTTGCGTTCTCGCTGCTTTCCGAATCTAACAGCTTTTGACGGCACGAGTTTCTCCAACAACCTCAGCATACAAATCCCGAATGCTAGTCATGGCGTTAATAATTATTATCATTACCATCTCAAATTATTACAGCGTGCGATAGAGCTCTCGGCCATTGAAGAAAATGTTGAGTCACCTCCACCATTACACTGCGCTCTTAGCCGACTAGACCCTCCTGCACACAACCATCACCATTGCGAGGACACTTTCACCTCAAATTGCTTATACATGCTTTGAGAGAGGGAGGTTGGTGGCGGCTTAAGCCACCCTCCCATCTGTCCTTGGTGGTTTTCGTAAAGAAATGCGGCGAACAAGCGACTGGTTCCAAATGTCACTATAGGTTAGAGGTGTCCATTGAAATTTCATTTTTCAGGATGCTTATCGTTTCTGAGAGCGGACGCAACGGTCACGAAGGCCAAGCAGCGTGATCTGGCGACGGATGTAATTGTCTCGAAAGGTAACTCATTTCAAAGAGGTTGAGTGCAGAATGGATGGATTAATTAAGGGATCCTGGCTGAACAAATACGACCAGCAGGTTGCCCAACCTCCGCATTCCCACGTACTACTAAATGGAGATACTAGTGCTGCGAAGTGCAAATGACCCTCGTCATGACCTCCTCACTCACCAGCACGTACCAGTGCCATGAGAAGGAAAAACGTCGAAACTATGGCCAACGCGTCAGGGATATTGAGCATGCCACCTTCCTGCCATTGGTTTTCTCAGCCAGTGGTGGGATGGGGAAATCCGTCACCACCTTTTACAAGCGTGTCGCGCCTCTAGTCTCAGAGAAGACGAAGGAGCCGTACAGCCAGGTCATGTCGTGGATCCGGTGCCGGCTGTCTTTTGCCCTGCTGAGATCCAGCATTGCTTGTTTGCGGGGCGCACGGCGGATTCGTCCCCTGCCAGCCATGGACACCTCTGTCGTGAGGGTGGTGGCTGAAGCGGCAATCCGGTCCTGAGGCAGTTGTGTTCGGTGTCCAAGGCCGGTTTTGACATGACTGTACTAAGTACATCGTAGTTGTACATTTGGAAGTACAATTGTTATTATCTACATTAGACTGTTTTCACAGCCATTTTATGACACTAGACTGTAGTACTAGACTGTTTTCACAGGCATGTTTGCTCTCTCGACTGTTTTCACAGCCATTTTTGCTCGTTTTTCTTCCGGTGCTGTTGAGGTTGCACTCGTAATAATTATTATTGTGTTTATTTTGCCAGTACAAGAGGCTTGGTTGCGTTGGAAAAAAAAGGACCCTCATCGTCAGCGCTCTCAGCGTCACGTACACCTACTCCGTGTGCAAAACTGACTCCCTCTTCTGCCTGGTGCTCTTGATCTCGTCCAGACGAAGAGAACCCCGGTTACGTTTTTTTGTAATACGTACAGGCTCAGTCCCAGTTTCCTTGGATTTCGAAAAGAGTTACAGAACATCAGGAAGCTGACTTTGATCCATTTCCCATCAAGAAATAGAACCAAAAACCCCAGATACCGGGCGATAGCAGATATTAACTCCAATCGGATATCGCCAAACCTTTTTTGGGGCACTAGCTGTGCTAGTACTCGTTAGCAACAACCCGAACTAGCGCACACACTGCACTGCATTGCTTTCTACTGCATTCAAGACTGATGTCATGCGCTTTGTTTTGCTGCGTAATCACAAATGGCATCCAGCCTCGTTTCGCTGACAAGAAAAACAAATCTTGCATGCCCTGTTGTGCTCTCCCAGACAACGGATTGTGCTTCAGCAATGTTTCTTTTTCCACCACCTCTCCCTACTCGTTCGCCCATATAATATATTTTAATAGATTCCACCACAAGGTTATACTGATTATGCTTGATGACTTTCCTGTAATACTTGAAGAATTCTTGATTGAGTTGCATTCTTTTTCAATTACCTGTACAATTGCATGTGCTAGGATTTGCTATGGTAGATTTTCCTTGCCTATTTTCCAGGTGGGCTGGTAAAAGTTCTGATTCAGTTGCATTCTTTTGACTTCTTGGACTCTTAACATAACACATAATCTGACCACGTGACTATATCCTGTCAGGAATGTTGAGTGAAGTTTTAAGATGAGTCCTAGAAATTTGATTGGATTAAGACTTCTAAGTATTTGCATTTCCTCCATCTTCCAGGATACTAATAAGTATTATTTCCGTGCGTCCATCGCTCGCACAGAACTTTTGCACGCTCTAAATGACGCCAAATTGACTATATTCCTATGTCCCCTCTGTTTTGAAAATGTATTTCACCAATAGAATAAGGCTTGGAATTTTTTAAACATGAATATCGACGGACTTGCCCCTTATGTTCATGCATTGCCCTGCTCTAGTAATGGTTCATGAATCTGCCCAGTCCACATTCCTTCTCCGTTTCTCTCCGATTATGGGTCCTTTCAGTTGCATCTTCCTCTCGGCTCCGTGTTATTTTCTCTTTTCGTTCGTCCCTTTTGATATTTGTACTTTGTACTGTTGAGGCAACGAACGGAAATAATAAAAACAAACCAAACCAATCGCTGTTTTGAGTCTTTTCAGCCTTGTGTCCTTTTGACACATCGGCCATGATCATTTTCTCCCTGATTCTTTGATAATTATATTTTTCTGCTTCAGTTCGGTTTCTCTCACGAGAGCTTGCTTTCTCATGTTGGCGGCTGGTTCGCTTTGTGTTCGATCCAATTCTGAGCAACGTGACAACTCTCTGGGCGCTATGTCAATGGTGTTAGATACAGGGTCTACGCTGTTCTTCTTCAGTGTTCCTGTCTGTAAGTGACATGTTGGCTGCCTCACTGCTTGTTCTGGTGCTGGTGGTATGTGTTGTTGTGCATGCGTGCATGTGTCTGTCTGTGCTGTCTGTGTCATAGTCATAATGCGACCCTGGTGGTCACCGGCCTTGTGAGGTACGGACCGGTGCTGTGTGATTCCACAGCCAGTTGCTATGCGTGGAATAGCTCAACAATGATTAGTCTGCTACCACATGTATGCATGGACTTGACTATGCATATTGCATGGCCCAAGATGATAATTATTATTATTATTATGTGCATCAGTATCAGGGCTTTATGTCGCCTCATCTGCCCATAAGTGTCTGGTTTCTGAATGGGGGGGGGGATCATTGAATGGGATGAGTAGAGTAGGGGTGTGCACAGGTAGTGAGGTACCCGTTCTAGTCGGGTAGACGCCAGGTACAGAATAGTACCCGAAAACCCGAAGTCGCAGATGACATCATGTACAGTTCACGTGTACAAATTCATGTAATACTCCGCATGTCAAACCAGTGTGTAAGGAAAGGGGTGCACTATGGTGTTACCATGGGAACATTACCCGGTCGGGTAAACTACCCGAACCCGATACCCGACTCAGCACTTGGGTAGAGCATAGGCACCAGGTCTCTCAATGTGTGCTGTGAACGCATCCCCAGTTGGAATTTTAAGAGAGGGCAACTACTGTATCTCTGACTCACCGATTATAGGCGGGGGTGGGGGGAGCTATCAATGCAATGCAAGTATCTTGTAGAAACTACATGTATTTGCATTGGTCCTCTGGCTCCTATCATTATTACTGTGATCAACGTGACCGCTAATTACTTCAAGTGTTATTTATGTTTAGCAGCGGAAATGCACCAGTCAGGAACAGCTATCAAGTAATGAAATGTGAAAATTTGATTGGAAACACTCTGATCAGACCCATACAAAATGCTGTGCTCGAACACACGAAACAAGACCGAAACGGAACTTGCAGGTTGACACAAGGCATCATTCAAAAAGAAAAACCTCACGTGCAGTACTATTATTTAAAAAAAATTAAAGCATGCCTCCGGCATGCACGGTATTGTTCATCTCCAATTCGATATGAAGAAAAGAAATGATTTTTTTGCAGAAATGTATTGAAGCAAAGAAGATCATCATGGATGTTTGGTGTTCTTGCGCATGTATGAGAAGTGCAGCGACAGCTCTGAGACAAAAGGTGACATCGAACGTTTCTAAACAATCATACCCAAGAAAAACAAAACCCCCTGAGGGAGGAGGCAATTTAGTTCAGGCAATTACGTTGTGGGAACACGAGACCGTGTACCTGAGCTTTGACGTGGTAAGGGAATAACAAGCAAGCTATGATTGTGGCAATCAGCTTTCCTCTTGCCGTGAATTGGGCCATTCCGGCTAGAATGAAGTATTTTGTTCACTCCAACTTTAGTCATAAGCACATAAGATGAAGCACTGCATTGAAAACCCACAGCGGACACATAATGTCATCGTCGTAGGACCTGTCAGGGAAAATTGCTGGAATATTCAGCATACTGTGATGCTTTTAGAAGCATAACCTACCTCCACACACAAAAAATCTGTAATTTATTTTGTATAGTACATGTACATGTACTGTTTATCCATGATCAGCTGACTTGTATCAGCTGACTTGTATGCAGAGTAGAGTCAGGGAAAATTGCAGGAACATGCAGCATACTGTGCTGTTTTAAAATATAACATACATGTACGTGCAGGCACAAAAAAGATATGAAATTTATTGCTGGAGTGCATGTACTGTTTATCCAAGATCAGCTGACTGGTATGCCGACATGCAGTCGGAGGCCAAGCATACGCAGTAACAGTTATGTAAGTACTTACTGATGTCCCATGACCTGTAAGACCCAGCACTCGATATACTGGACTGGGCTCCGAGCAGTACCACTGCACACTGATTGTAGTCTCAAACACTGCTACTGGTTGGCTGGGAAAGTGTCGCGGAGCTGCGTCGGCTGAACAGGGACAAGCTGCGGATGTGATCCAGGACAAAGGAGGTAGGCGTGCTACTGGACCCATTCCCATTTGACCCGCGGCGACGCTTTGTTGACAAGGCCGAAGACGCGGTGGACGAGTGAACCGATTTGAGCAGTTCCTGACGAACGTCGGGGGATCGTGCCGTGTGGACGGCGAACATGAGGCAGCCTTGTGTGCTCACGAGCAGAGTAAAGATGTACTGCGTCGCAACAGTGTTATGGATCACAAGCAACACGCCGCTGATCCAAGCCAGGCCAATCACCACCGACATGGATGTCACCACGGTAACTAAGTTGATCTCGCGCCCCTGCTTCTGAGAGCTGAGGTTCTTGCGTACGTGGTACAGGTGCTTGGCAATACTGGTCAGCATGATGCAGTTAAACACCAGCATGCCACAGAGCGGTGTTACGACGGTGGTGTAAAATGTACTGTCATCCTTTAGCCAACATCTGCACAGGCATAGAGAGGTAGAAATCATGACTTACACCTTGTCTTATACACGTACAGAGTAGTACATACATGTTCATTTAAGGACGCTATAATTCTCAATACAGCATATGTAGCTATTTCGCCTGTGCATAATGCACACACTCACACATTCACACACACACACACACACACACACACACACACACACACACACACACACACACACACACACACACACACACACACACACACACACACGTGTGCACATGCACGCACACGCACGCACGCACATACACAGTGACACACACATACAGTGACACACACACGCAAACAAACACAGAATACTAAGTCCACCACTCACAGCTTTTCCGAGCCGTAGGCGTCAAGTCTTGTTATGCCGGCTGGAAAAACAACGATGATGAATGGAGTACCTGTGGAGGAAAACAACGGAACAAAAGAACGGAGGTAGGCCAGTTCTTAGTTCAATAGTGCAGCCATTTTCAGTCGTGCTTGGACCAATAACGACACAATGGCCCAGCTTATTTACTAGTCTGTGGCTATGTAGTGTGGTCAGACCGCTGTGCCATATTCCCTGTGCAGAGATATATACTTCGGGGGTATTGGCTCTTGATAAACAAATGTACGATCAGGGAGCGAATCTCTCACGCCATCTGCCATCTAGTAACAGGCCAGAGCGCTTCAAACATAATTATTACTATCATTATTCACAGGGCTGTCGGACACGGTACGGTCACTATGGTAATGAGTGTACCATGTTTGCTCCAGGTACCACTGATCTAGGCTCTATATTTCAAAAACATTCAAGGGGAAGTTAAGGCTAAAATCAAAATTTCACCAGTTGTAGTCTTCGGGGTGCTGCGTCGAATAGTCTTGGTCCGAGAAAGCTGAGACGTTCCCATCCTACTTTAATCCCAATCGAACTCGCGCATTTCCACCAAAACTGGGTGACTGCGCCCTACTAGATGGGGATTTGTATGCAAAATGTCACTGAAAGCGCCATGCCGTTCTTATAAAAGCACGGATGACCGCGATTGGCTCGTATGTTGTAGTCTTTTGACTGCTGAGTCAACTGGTTTTGGGCCGAAAAGGCTGCGATGCAGCGTTCCTCCTTTATTCCTAATCGAACATGGTTGAACAAGCGGTCACGTGCGCCTGGGTGCCCAAATCACCTGGTCACCACGCCAGCAGGCGACAACTTTCACACCAAGATTCAACTCGAGTGACATGACTGCACTCAAAACGGTCAAACAGGCTAGTAAGTTGTACCCTGCAGGCACGGTGATCAGGCGACTGGTGTACGCAGGTGCACGTCACCGCTTGTTCAACCATGTTCGATTGGGAATAAAGGAGGAACGCTGCATCGCAGCCTTTTCGGACCAAAACCAGTCGACTCAGCGTCCAAAAGACTACAACATATGGGCCAATCGCGGTCACATCGAGGATGGAATATTTACCTTTGGAAATGGGACTTAACGTGCCGGCTAAGTACACCACGGGCTTCAGATATCCTAATCTCGGTAGGCAGGGAGTTCCACGTGGTGATCATGGAATGTAGTAGAGTGGAGAGGAAACAGGGAGCAGTGTGAGTGGGCGGGAGGTAAAAGTGAGGACGTTGTGCACTCTTGGATAGAACTATGTTGAAATTATTGAGGGTTTCCAGGTATTGGCAGGTGAACAGACTTACCATAGGCAAGGGCATAGACTAGGCGTACGGTGCGCTGGTCGTGTTTAGTCTTCACGATGATCAGGTACAGGTGTACCGCCGCCGCTGCCATCAAACCGAACACCACGAGCAAGCTGAGGTGCATTACCACGGCCAGAGCGGTGCACAGGCTGTCGTTCTCGGCGCTGAGCACGTTCTCGTCTCGTCCCTGCATCACCAGCAGAACCAGCACGGTGTTGAGGATGAGTGCCAGAGATAGCTGGAGTGCTGTCTGCTGGAACGGCTTGGTGCGAAGCTTCCTGCAAGTTGGCAACAGAAACAGTCAGTGCAAGATTCACAAATACCACTTGTGACACAACAAGTGTATTCTACTGGTGTTACAGAAATCTATGTACAGAAGCCAAGACCATCTTTCATCGGAGACCAAGCAGTTTTAGAGATTCATTAAAACTGATTCATTCTCGTGAAACTAAAGCTGCACCGGAGTACAAGCTGCACCGGAGAAGATAAGAAGCTGTACTCTGGTTTTTTTGTCCTGACATACAGACATCTTCCCTCTTTTTTCACGATTAATTTGACCATCGTAGTGTAAATCGGACTTTTCTTGGGGTGAATTACTGGTGTTAAAAGTGCGACTTATACTCCCATAAATGCGGTATGTGTGACATACATTTTTTAAGGCCCCTGGAGATACGAATTTGACCAAACATGTCATGCAGCATGTCTCTGATTTACTGTCTTACTTGAAGTAGAGGATAATGACAACGGTGGCCAGAAGGCAGATGATGCTCAGCGCGCTGCCTACGAATGTAATGATCGTCAGGGCTCTGCCTGCGTTGCCATGCCCATCGGATGTGATGACATCATCACGAACCTGCGTGTACATAGTGCATAGTGCATAGTGCATAGTACATAGTGCATAGTGCATAGTACATAGTGCATAGTGCATAGTGCATAGTGCATAGTGCATAGTGCATAGTGTATAGTGCATAGTGCATAGAGGCAAGAGTATATGAAACCCAGAGTGTGCAGCTCGGATGGGTTGCGGTCACGGCGAAATTCCTCGATTACATCATCTTAGTGATGTGGTGCATGCAAGCAGGATCCAAGTTGGTCTCTTTCTGCAGAAATGCAGCTCAGTTCTACGCACTACGCCACTTCCCGCCTCAGATCTGCACCAAAACATGATGTAATCGCGGAATTTGGCCATAGAGAATACGTTGAAAGCTGCATACTCTTGGTTTCATGTACATTTGATGGAGGAAAGTTCGACTGGCACACATAATTATGCTAGAACAGATCATTTCTACACTGAGCGAACAGGGACACTGCCGAACACCTTGAATGCAGCATTGCCAAACATTCCACATAAAACACAATATAGGAAGAGCTGGGGAGTAATTGTTGCAATATACATGTACACTAAAGCGTGCCATAACCGGACACCCTTGGCCTAGGTGCAGCGGAAACTGTCCTGATATGAAAGGATTCCATTTTATGCATGTTTAAAGAACAGCACGTCAGTGTATGAACATGTGTCTGGTCAATACAGGATTCCGCTTGGCACAAGGTCCGGCAAACGGTATTATAATACACGCCTTGACCAGGTGCTGGTTATACAGCTAGTGAGGAGTTATATTTAGCCTCTTGCAACTGTTTTAGCTCCCTCTCTTGCCTTTTGCCGTTGCGAACAAGAGAGATACCGAAACGATCTGGACCATTTGTGAGTTGTCTATCCAGTCCTAGCACTGCAGAAGACACAATTGTGCCGCGTTCAGTCTGAACTAACCCAACAGACTATTGCGAGACCAGTAAAACAATCCATAGCCACCACTTACGAACAGCAGGGCGAAGTTGGTCAAGTGATCGCATTCGCAGCTTGTCATTCCTGGATTTTTGCCGGATGAGATGGCCCGACAGCCATCCTGCCTCCATGATTCTAAACACGTAGCCAAAGATAACAAGAGAAAATCAACAGGGCAAGGATTTCGACCGACTGAACTTTCCGCATCCTTTCAAGAACTCCGCCAACCTTTTAAAAGGATCAAGGTGTGGATAGTAGAAAGTAGCAAATACATTTCGCGCCAAATTTGGTGTAAGATGCTCTAATCCGACTGTAGGCTTGTGTGAGTGGTCAAGATTGGGACAGGAACAGTCCCCTACCAAGTTGAAATACTAAGCTTCCATTGCACCAATAATGGAATAAAATACTCTTTCTGCACAGGCAAGGCATTAGCTTTCTTGCACAATACAGTAGTACACTTTTAATGAAATGAGGCCGTACAGTATGCTGGCTCCAGGGGTCCTGAAATGGATTGCAACATTCTTCAGCATGTATGGTCATGATCCAATGCAAAGTATGAGGACTGAACTCAACTTTGCAACTTTTCAATTCATACTCGCACCTGCCTTACCGGTGTTTTTATGCCAATAGGAACACATAGCGCGGTGCGTGCCGCCTATGTCCTTCATATTGTACCAGTGCACGTACACACACACGCACACACACACACACACGCACACACGCACACATGCATAAAAACGTAAGCAAAACACGCAGAGACATCGTAGCCTAGTCATTTTTTCTTTGTTTCATGTGAACCTGTACTAGCTGTAGGCATGCGCATTATGGCTAAAAGAAAGTGCCACAAATACACAGGCACACAAACACAAAACTGCTTGTAAGAGAGAGAAATATGCCGAGTCTCCTTCTTCACCAACACGGTCTTACACGGCAATCATTGTGGTCGCGGTGGTGGTGAAGAAGTAGATTGAGGCATGAATAATTGGTGGCAGTGGAGCCTCCGCAATTGAAGAAGAGAAATATGCACAACATCTGCACCTAACCAATACCTGCATTCAACACTAGCTCATTTAATCCGATGTGGGTTCAAGTAGGAGCAACCATTTAGATATTGATCTACCTGTTGCCAAATTCCGTTCCACTATCATTTACGCCTGTTGGTGTATTTGGTTCTTGTCTCGTAGAGTCCAGTTTCTGATGTCATAGTATGGTCTAAGTGTACGTGTGAGCATGGTGTGATGTGTGACGTTTATGGTATGTGGTGCATGCAAGAGTACAGTGTACGAGTTGTCAGAGTTTGAGGATCTGCTTCCGTCTGTGCGAGAGTGACTGTCAACTGATTGCTGTGCATGCGCAGTGCTAGTTTGGTCTGGGAATGAGAGTCATGTGTGATTCGTCCGTGGTCTGGTCATGTGTTCTGTACGTGTTGGTCCCTGATTGGTCGTCACGATCTGTCGTCTCTTTATTACTGCTTGTTCTTTGTTGTTTCGTCGTGTCTTTTCTCGTCGTCGTTTTGCCTCAGTCTAGTCTTTTCGTCTTTCTCCTCCTGCGCCCTCGTCGTTTTTTGTTAATATAAGAATTGAGCACACAATGTAGATTTTGCGTTGCTGTGTGGCGGGGGCCAGGGGGAGAAGGCAATAACCCAAACCTATTTTGGTTTCATACCTGCGCATTGTAAATGCCAGACTATAGTTAGGCATTGTTTTCTCAGCTGGAGATACGGCAGAGTTACTTTAGCGAAATCCTCAAAACAAGTCCAAACCAAACAGATTGAACGACATACTCACGTTATGTGTGAAGTTCAACTGGACCGGGTTGCCAAGTAGGTCCACGTGGTCATGCCCACGAAACTTGACGCTCAGCACAACACTTTGGATAGCCTCTGGTGCTGGAGATCCCGGCTTCAGGTCTTCACCACTGGGACGGAATAGCATAGGAGTCCGATAGGCAATGATCTCCACAGGCGAAGCTTGCCCACAGTCACTTTGGCTTTCCGGATCACTCGTAGGGGATGATCGCATCAGCGGTGGAACACGCACACCTGCCAAGATGCTTGGCTCGCCATTGCTCTCCGATAAAATCGTAAGTGATGAATGATTGTCGTTGCTGGTTTCATCAGAAACGGAGAGCTGAGAGTAAGACTGGCTCGGGCAATGGCAACTCAGAGCTAGGTTTGGAGAAGATACTTGGAATGGCGTGTGGAAAGAGACGGCTGTAGCCTCCATTAACGTTTCCAACGCTATGCGGATTCTGGAAGCAAAGCATTCACAATCACACGTCTACTTGTAACGAGAGAGTTTAGAAGCTCAGAGCCCTACGCTATGATTTTTTGCCTAGCTCATCATGCATGTTATTAGAACTGATGGAACTTTCTCTTTTGCCCCAACTTAGTTGCGGTCTTAAAGTGTTTTACGTCGACCATGACGGCTGCAATGCCCAACCACACCACAACGAACTGATCGGCTATATCACTGTATTGCAAAAAAGTTTCCATTCCAACAAACAAGGGGGGGGGGGTGCCAGGTGGTAGCACTGAGCTCCGGAGACGAGGATCATTATGACACGTACTTCGAAGTAGTTGTAATACTCGATTTTCATTCGGAATAAATTCCTCTCTAGCGTGTGCACTGAAGGTAGAAAATGGAGAAAATCAGTGTGATCTCTATCGTACACATTATGATACGCAGGTGTCATACTCCGTTTACGATCGGTATTAATTTCTCTCATGCTTGCGCCCTGAAGGTTGTTACTATCCTAGGAAATGGACACGTACAGTGTGAAATACATGCTTCCCTTAGGTTTGCTTACATGACTGTTGCTTTGGACAGCGGGGCATTGCCTGGAGCGTCTTGAGGAACGTTCTCCATCAGGTTGCTAACGGTTGTGGCGACATTGCGTGTGACCTTGCAGAAGATGTTGTAATAAAACGGACAGTAAACAGAAACTACCTGCAATGTAGCTATGGTGTACATAATTGTGTTATTACTTTGTCAGCATACGCACTGGTGGTGGTACTGGCAATATTGCATTGACCGGTTGTACGCACGTCACCACTGAGCAGCTAGCTGGCAAGGGGCGTCAACAGTCAAGCCACTGTATGTTATTTTTTTATTATGGAATGAAGCAAGCTTGTCATGAGGAACTACTCGCTGTCGTGGAGTGTTGCTGGTGAACTGTTTGTGCTGGTGTCTGCAAATCGTCAGGACGGGAAAAAGAACCTAAATACTACTGTTGGATGGAGTAAATGAAGACGCCATCAACGAACTTATGCTTTGAGTTGATTGAGAAAGCGTTGGTCTTTGCCTTACTCTATCACAACTACAGTCAACTTCGCTAATAACGACTTCGGGTATTACGACAATTCGCGAATAACGACAAAATTTCCAAGCCCAGAGCAAAGTCCCATCTGACTGTATACATGTAATGAGACTTCGGGTAAAAAGACACTTCGCGAATAAGGACACTTTTCTGATGCCCCGCCGAGTGTGGTTATACGCAAAGTTGACTGTAGTTCTGGAAGTAACTCCCAGCTCAACTGTCTGGAGAGCTAGCAAATTCGACCCATTGTGCTGTGCAGAGATAGAACAGCATTTGTACATAAATTTCCACAATTGCTGTTATCCGCCGTGGAATAAGATACAGACACTCATTCGTTCTTCAAAAGGAAGTGTTCGCCCACTCACCGTGTTTACAAACTCCGATCCTGATCCATTGCCGACGGACTCAACCTGAGCCCGGATGGATTTATTCACCAGAGACGCAAGGAGTGAGGCGCCGTTAGCAGTCACCAGATCACCTGGCGATGTGACAGATAACTGCTGCAGCTTTGAAGCAAAACCTCGAACTTCATCTGGACTCACTGCCCTGTCAATCGCCTACAAGAAAATGTCGAGGAAAGCAACATTGAAGTATTAGAGTAGAGGCGCACACTGACAGATTTGGCCAAGTATAGAATGAAGGCCGCAGACATCACTACGCAACGTGTTCGAAATTTTGGTAAATCAACAATACAATCCAGAATCGATTTTCTGAAGACGAAGATCACTGCTACAGAAAGATGTTTGGCTTGTGTGGTACGCTCGGCCCTCGCCTGGGAAAGACGCACTACTTGCAGCAAAGAACCTCGACATACTGAACTTCCACAGTTTGTAAAGGTTTTGGATCAGTTTGTAGGATGCCTGGAGTGGGATTGTAACATCGCGTGTAAGGTGTTTGTCAAGATGCTGTATTGCACCAAACATTGTCTACGTGTTTTTTCAGGAGAGATAGATAGAGAGAGATAGGGATAGAAGGACACGGAGAGAGAGAGAGAGAAATAGAGAGAGAGACAGAGAGAGAGAGCAAGAGAGAGAGACGGGGGGAGAGAGAGAAATAGAGAAATAGAGAGAGAGAGAAATAGAGAAATAGAGAGAGAGAGACGAAGAGAGAGCCAGAGAGAGACAGAGAGAGACAAAGACAGAGAGACAAAGACATAGAGAGAGAGAGAGAGAAAGAGACAGAAAAATAGAGAGAGAGACAGAAAGAGATAGAGGGAGAGAGAGGGAGGGAGGGAGTGAGAGATAAAGAGAGAGGAGAGATAATAATATTATATAATATAATTGTGCAATTTGTATAATATATTTACAGGATTCTCTAGAGGCCGTTTTGGCCTATCGAGGGGATCTTCATTCAGAGAGATAGAGACAGAGAGGGAGAAGAGGGAAAGAAGAGAGAGAGGAGAGAGGATAGTTGGTGCCCTTTTACTTGCAAATTGCTGGAACTCTTACCATTGTTAGGGTAGTGACGTTCGGGTATCGTTGCTTGCCCACTTCCTTCTCTACGAGCAAAGATACGACAAGGATTGAAGAAGTAAAGACAATGATGATCACCACTTCGGCATAGAAGCCAACTAGCCATCTGTTATCATGGTAATCGCCTGGTAAATAGTTTTCTCAACCCAAACTTGAATTTCAACCACATCCATGACCAAGACTAGCTTTTGGCTCCGCACAAGAAGCATTTGCGAAATTCTCAACATGTTCTTTCATTCCGTCCATTGTGGATACAGGGAGAAAAGAAACTAACGCGTAGACCGACCACCGTTGAGAGAGAACGTAAACTCTAAAGGTAATAATAGCATTTGAAAATACGGCCATTCCGGCAACAGGCTCTCAGCTGCACCAAATAAATAACTTTGCCAATATTTAGCCCGTTGGGCGTCATCAGGGCATTGAGGAAGCTGAGAGCCTGTTGCCGGAATTGCGGTGTTTTCAAGTGCAAGAAATACGCTGCAATGGAGTTTGGGAATTCTGAAGAAACGTAATAATACAACCAGTGAAAATAGTGGGAATGTACCCAAAATGTATCCGGAAAGTGTTGATTCACTGGTTTGGAGGAAAGAGGGAAAGTGGTGATTCTGCAACATTATAGACAACATGCACGCTATATTCGCACCTGAGTGATGTACATGTCCGTGTGAAGAGGTAGATCTACTAGTTAAGAGTAGGCACGACATTCATTTCTTGTATTGTGATAAGAATTATTCAGTTAGACTGCGAACAGGCTTTCGGCTGTGGACTATGTACACGACTGTACAGTCCTAGCCAGAGAAATCCGACCTCATGAGCACGGCGCTACATTATACATGGAGTCGGATTTTTCCACAGGGAGTGTAATGGTTTGGTTCAGTTTGGAAGCAATATCTCAAGCTCTGTTGTCTGTATTTCTGGGAAACAGATGCCGTGTAGCATCGGTACATTGCGCACTGCAAATGATGGTCAAAAATGGAAGTGGAGGGGAGAGGCGGAATCTCACTTCAGTGCACTATACCTACAAAATAAAGTGCATAATTATGACTTTCAACTTGCACAGCTTTTGACACCCTGGGACTGGCCGTGGTACAGATGCGGCTGGACGTAGATGGCATGAAATCAGCCAATAGGGGTCTTGAAAATATATCTAGCAGAGTTGATCCTGAATAACCTGTTACGAGAACCCGTACCAGAACAATTTGGCAACGAGGCAGTCCAGTCAGGTGACCATCTTCCACTCTCATTGCATGTAAATACTGCCGCGTACGTATCCTTTCCCTGCCCAGTCACGTGATAACCATCGTCACATGTCAATGTGATGTTGGAGAATGGCGTGGCAGAACCTAGTGGTGACGATACGTCTGGAGTGTTTAGTGGAGCTGCTAGTTTCGTCACGTGTAGGCGACCGTGACCTACACCATCAAGCATGAATGCTTTTAAAGGGCATCCTGGAATCGGCTGCGTGGGGAGAGGGCCTGTGCGCCAATGAGAAAGCACAGCATCTTCAACAGACAGTGTGGTACCGTAAATGCCTCAAGTATTCCGGGGAAGTCAATTGGTCTACACGTCATGCCATGGTTTCAAATGTGCCTGAAGTAATAGAGAAATTGAGCATGTTGGGAAATCTTTGAAGTTTGTGCCGCTGGGCGTCCCATTTTGTCAATGATTTGTTCGCCTTGAAAGCTAGTCATAAGGACTGGTTTCCTGCTGCGCATATCACCAGCGTAGCTGCATCGAAGAGCAACGGTGGGGAAAGGCCTAATGGGGAAGTCTTCTCGTTTCTGTGTTGCGTGTACTTGTCCAGCAATTTTCGTTCATTAATAGCAGCCCACATCACCCGTATCATAACTCAAATAGTAATTATTCGGAAGAGTGTTTCTGTGTATGCATCACCGACCCAAAGCCCAGTACAATCATGTACTAATAGATCGTAGACAGATTATTAATTTTCGTGAACGGCATGCTATGGTTAAGATGGTGTTGTTCCTTTCTTGCATCTATTCTCTGCGCGCTGCCATGTACGTGAAGTATGCTTTTCGGAGGAGGTCCATAGTGTGTGTGTGTGGGGGGGGGGGGGGCTACACATCCTTACCTCCAATGCAACTCAAATTCTGGGATGACCATGTGCCGTTTTCCCCGCACTCTACCGACAAGCCAGTCCTTGGGTCGTAGTCCTCAGGGAAAGGCTCACTCTTGCAGTGAAAATTGACGATGTCCAGATACCTACCCACTGTGATTTGCAGCGTTGAGCCTTTGAAGGAGTGATCGATGTTGCTGCTTATAGTAATGTTATCCGATTCAACGTTGTATATGGGAGGTAGAGCGGGACATCTGATTGCTACAGGAACAGAAGGCCAGAAAACGACATGTGGAATCATATGGATTCTCTATCACTCATATCCTGAGTAAGAGCCGTTGCACAGGGAATGCAATCATCTGGTGGATGATGTATTACGTAATTATGACTTTTCAGTGATGTAATGATGATGCACGCGTGACGGGTAACCAGCATAATGGCTCTATACTTGATGATGGAAAATCATGTCACATCGGTACATGAATGGACTCAGATGGAGAGCCAAGGTTTAATTTATACAAAAGAGAAAGACGAAGGAACTACAAGTTACGCTATACTGTCCACTAACATCCAAGATGTGCTAGAGCTGTTAACCAGTTAGTTGTAGAATGTCAGTACCGTCGGCCAGTGTCGTGCAATGTTATCGCATGAGCTGATTGTTTAGTAACTGGCGGTGTTAGTGGACAGTATAGCGTAACTTGTAGTTCCTTGGTCTTTCTCTTTTGTATAAATTAAACATCGGTACATGTTGGCACTTTTGCAGCTGGGAATGGAGTTGCATGGGCATGATGGGTTGATGTGAGACCACCTGATGTCTGGTATTTTGTATACTGAAACATTCAACACATCTTCGTAGCGCTAGCAAACGGCCTTCAAAATCGGAAGGTTCAAGGTTAAGGAGAGACCAAAAAGGGAAGGTAAGCGCAACGAAAACGAGCGCAAGCTACAGTCCCAACGGAACAAAGAAGGTGGATTGTTACTGGACGATGACGAGACCAGTAAAATACTTGACAAAGTGGTCTAACTACAATTCGAAGCAGCAAAGCAGCACACCACCCAACTTGGGTAGCTCAGAAATATCAAGGATAAATATACACACACAACAGAGGCGAAAGGCTGTGTTAGCTGTAACTTAAAGTTTCACGCATCGGAGCGATCATCAGACAGCAGCATTCACTATCGAATTCTCTACGAGCAGGCCTAGATATTTGATGCTAGTGTGGAAGTTAGTGCATATGTGCGAAGTGAAGACGTGGCATTGGGACAATGGTATTGAGTTCTTTTGTGAGAGTTAACGGATATAGGTGAGAATAGAGGCGATAACAGGGCAGTGTTACCCAGTCATTAAAGGCGATAGCGATGGTAGCGCAAGACCACAGCAAGAGAGAAAGCACCATGGCGCCACACCTGGTGCAGGTTGCGCCATGTTGAAAAACTCACGTAACTGATGGTGAGAATCTGGACAGGTAATACTTGTTCTCGTGTCTGCATTTCGACACCAACTCCGACCTTTTGTTGATGTTGACCGTTTTGTCTGCTTCCAGGATCTCCAGTTTCTCAGCAAGGCATAGGGGACACCGCTTGGTCGCGTTCGAGTAGGCCTGGGCCTTGGTGACGACGGCCCATTTCACAGAGTGCGGAGTGTTCTTCCGCTTGAGCTTCCATATGCACTTGGACAGCTCCGTGCTTTTTTCCATCCTCTCATGCCTCGTCGTGCTCATGTGATTGTTGTATCTCTGTTTAAAGGGTGGTTTTGTTAGGCCGAGGTACTCGTGCCGCTGCTCTCTACCGGTGTGCTGGACTGTTGCCTTGTACACGATGCATCGTACTTGGCAGTCGCCGTCCATTGGGCAGGTGCTTTTGTCTCGGCAGTTGCATCGTTTGTCGGGGACGTTCTTGTCCTGTGTTTGTCTCTTCCTTTGAACATGGTTGTTGTGGGATTTGACATATTTGGCATACATGAATAGCTAACTTTGACGTTGTTGCGGTTAAATATCTGACGCAATCGGCAGCCGTGAGTAAAGTGTGTGTCGAGGAGTCGGAGGAATTTGTGTGCGATATCTGTGGCCACGTTCTTGCTAAAGGGTGGGTTGTACCAAGTGATGTTGCGCCGCCTATTTTTCTTTCTTCGTCCTGTCTCCTCCTTCCTCTCTTCCATGTACTCGACTCGTTCCACGTATCCACTCTCTCTGAGGGCATCGTTGTACGCTGGTGCCGATTCCTCAAATTTGTGTCGGTCACTTGATATGTCTGTTAGTCGTCTGCTGATTGTCTTTGGCAATTGTTGGATGATGGCCGGTGGGTGATTGGAAAGTTGGTGGACATAGACGGGCTTGTTGTTCGGCTTCCGGTATGGTTGGTATTTCCCTGTTGACAAATCCAGTGTCACATCCAGGAAATCTACCGTCTTCATGCCAGCGCTGATGGTCAGTTTCAAACCGAGATTCGTGAAAATCTGGCATATGGTTTTTCTGGCGCGGTCTGCTGTACTGCCCGTCGCATCTCTGATCACCGCTAGTCCATCATAGCGGTACAATCCGATGTCTGCGCTGTCGAACTTCTCCGATAGCTTTGACAGGGCATATGTGCCGACCAGTTCGCAGACTTCTGCACCGTCGAAGCAGCCCATGGTCACGTCGAAAAGTCCTCTCCCGTCTTTCTTCATCCACTCCCGAGCACTGTTGAAAAGCAGGGACTTCCGCGAGTGCATGACGATTTCCTTATCCTGCTGTGTAATGTCCGTGTACTGTGTGGCGAAAGTGAGCGCTTGTCCGAGTAGGTCCTCGGATATGGATGGGTAAAATTCTGCAATATCAAAACAGATAAACGAGCATGTGGATTTGTTTTCCAATCTTCGGAACCACTCGATCACTGCTGTTGTATTTTTCCACGAATTGATGTTGAGTTCTGATCGTACTGTCTGGACAATTCTCTCCATGATGCTTTTACTGACTCGGCCAATGTCGCTTTTTGCAGGGTTGATAAGCCGGCATGGAGTGCTTTGCTGAAAGTTTTCTTTGTGGTCTTTTAATGTGATGTAAGCATCTTTCCTCGCCATTGTTTCGGACCGGTTAGCTATGTTGAGATCCTCTGCGATCTGCTTGGCTTCGGCATTGACGTCGTCGTAGATGTGGTCAGGTGCATGCCGATAGTGCTTGGTCACGTTATCTGTCAGTAGCTTACTGTAAAGATCTGTGTCCACCGAGTGCAGATTCCTTGTTTTATCCGCAGCGACTAGCATGTCATCGGATCTCCGGATCCTTGACAGGTCCTCTCTCATCCTTTCTTGCAGCGAGTCGTTAGCGCGGCGGAACTTGACGTTTTCTACCATACTCCATAGGTCCTTCTCGAACTCGATCATGTCGTCTCAAGGATAAATATACAGATGGGGGAAGCTTTGCGGAAAAGAATTGTACAAGCCGAACGCCAAACTCCTACACAAAAAGACGCTACCCTCAATGAATTCTTAATTTCACAGAGCACGCTTTCCGTGGGCAATGCAGATAAGTGTGGGGAATGCGGATGAGCAAACTCCAGCCATCAACACCACCGCTGCCGTCCTCAGCCCCTTCTACAAATCTCTGCTTCTCAAGCTGAGGTCGAAGCACTCCTTCGCGGAGTTGACAGCCTCTATAACCTATCATCCAAACCGGAGAAATCCCCCAGTATATAATGTACTTTTGATTGTATACTATGGTCGTACTGGCTCCATCCCTTATCTCCTAACCTACTACCCCTCCCTCACCCCTCCCTCCCGATGCGTCTGCCCACTGTATTGGCAAAATTGCAAAAACAACTAAACGAACCAGTGGAATCCCTGCCGCATTTAAAGTCTGTTAATCAACGCACAAACTAGCGCCTTAATCACTATAGGAGAAGTCCATGCTGGTCTCGCATGTGGGACTGATACATTGCAAGCCAAATAGAATGCAATTTACATATCTGTGTACGAATCATTCCACCTCCATGAACGTAGGTGGTACTGGTTCCCAACCTAGCTGTGCTCACGAATATCAATTTGAAAACTATTTCAATTTAGCAGGTATGTGTCATATTGGTGGATCCATAAATAGCACTTACGTGAACAAGATGGCGCCGATGGTGTCCATTGACCGCCGTTTCCACAAGTTAAATACTTCTGCGTGGTAGATTGTGATTGACCGGTAATGTAGTAACCAGTAACACATTGTACATTCACTGCATTTCCGTGGAGAACAGTAGTTCCAGAGTTGGTCACTCTTAATCCAACAGTCTGCCTTGGAACAGGGCAATGTATTTCTGAAAGGAAATGTACGAAACGCTTTTATGTATTCTCAGTCGGAGTTACAGACGTAGGCGGAAAGACGGGGCCAGTTAGCATGCTGGTATGGCAAGACAGTCAGCTTTTCCTGGGATACTGTGAGTGGTCTGATCTAGAGGGGCTTGTTGCGGTTGATGCAACGCCAGGCATATAGGATATGAGAAAATAAAAAAATCACGGTTCGCGTGAGACTCGGCTGGAAGCCGGGTTTTCCGCATCCGTAGGAACGCCATCACCCTTCAAGGATCAAGGCGCAGATGCAGCTCCTAAAGCAGTGGGAGGTAAGTAGATCAGCTCAGCAGCAAGTGGTCAAAGACCGAAAATCACATTCACTTCATCCATGTTTTCCTCGTGCCAGGCCACGAGTTCCCAATTAACTGTGGGTCGCAGCACGGCTGGAAAAAATCCTTCTGCTTCCAAGCAGGACCTGAATCTGGTACTCTCTGTTTCTCAATCATGGTCTTAGACCATCCCACTACGCCTGCCTGTCCTCTATGTGATATGATAATAATAATAATGCAATGAATATAACTAAATGCGCACTCATATCACAACCATGGGGACGAATAATGTATTCCAAAACGTTTTCTTGTCACAATTATCAACCTTCAACATCTGTCCGAACGTATCAAACAACACGTGCCGCTCTCACTATTGTCACAGGCGGCTAGGTCCTCCCGACCAAAGCGTGGCCGACCACGTAAGCACCCGACTCCACTTCTAAATTTAGTCCTGGTCAAGTCCATTACGACCTAACACACCTATCCCCCCGAAAATCCACCTCAGCAAATCACATGATACCGATACTACGCTCAATGGCAGATTTACTGTGTGAATCCCTCTCATTCCTGTTTAACTTAAGCTTATCTACTTCGTGCTTCCCCAATTCCTGGAAATCGGCCTCTGTTACCCCATTATATAAAGGCAAAGGAAGTGCCTCTTCACCAACAAATTATCGTCC